CTGTGTTGTCTGTGTCCTAATCTTTTTAAAGGATACCAGTTAGATTGAATTAGGGCTTTACATCTAAATAGAATCACATTGTGAGGTACTGGAGGTTAGGACTTAAACTTAGGAATTTTGAGGGGAACACATTTCAGCCTATAACAGCCACCAAGAGACTCTGTTGTGATTTTGACCAAGTAACTTTATAGTTTGCAGGATGTGAAGCTGAAATGTATAAGGTATAGGTGAAGCCTGGTTACTGTATTGTGAAGAGATTTTTGTTTTAGTTTTATTTTAGGCGGATATTAGTTTGAAATATACTTGTACTTATTTTTTCTCGTTTTCTTCATGCTTGACCTTTGTTTCTGAAACACCGGTAGTACTTGACCATTCAAGGAAAAGTTAAAAGCCCCTTTTCAGAACCAGTTTTACTTAACAGATTTGTAAATGGAAAGATTATTTTCTCATCTCCTGTAAGTTCTTAAATGAAGGATTGATATTTTTCTGTATCTTTAACATATGAATTATTCCAAAGAGTGTAAGTAACAATATTTTTTTGCATTTGACTTCAGTCATTTTCCACGTATTGTAGAGTGAATCCTTGATGTGGCTCTTGGTTGGTGCTGTGTATCCACGTACTCACCACCCAGCTTCTAACAGTCATCAACTTTCTTTTGTTTCATTTGCTGTCCCTTAAAAATGTTTTTGCAGTGGGCCGGTTGTGATGGCTCACACCTGTAATCCCAGCACCTTGGGAGGCCGAGGTGGATCACCTGAAATCAGGAATTCGAAACCATCCTGACCATCATGGCCAAACCTTGGCTCTGCTAAAAAGACAAAAATTAGCTGGACATGGTGGTGTGTGGTTATATAGCTACTTCGGAGGCGAAGGCAGGAGAATCGCTTGAACCTGGGTGACAGAGTTTGCAGTGAGTTGAGTTCGCACCACTGTACTCCCACCTGGGCAATATGGTGAGACTCTGTCTCAAAAAACAAAAAAACAAAATTTTTTTTTTTTTTTTTAGTATATTAAGCTCATTTTTTAACTGAGGTAAAAGTCACATAACAGAATTCACTGTTGTAACCATTTTAAAGTGTATAATTCAGTGAGATTTGGTAAATTCAGTTTTTTGCAGCTACCATATCTGTCTAGTTGCAAGACATTTTCATCATCGCAAAAGGAAATTCTATTTTCATCAAGCAGTCATTTTCCCTTCCTCTCATCCTCCAGCCCATGGCAAACACTAATCTTTTAGCTTTTTGTCTGTGTGTATTAGCATGTTCTGGATTTTTCATATAAATGCAATCACACAATATGTGACCTTTTTATGACTGACTTCTTTCACTTAGGATAATGTTTTTGATATTCATCCATGTTGTATTTATATCAACTTAATTTCTTTTTGGGGGCAGAATAATATTTAAATCCCTTTTGACTTGTGAAAAAAAATCTGTATTCTCATTTTGTGGCAATAACATTAGAAACTTAGCCAGGCATGGTGGTGCATGCCTATAATTCCAGTGACTTGGGAGGCTGAGGCAGAATTGCTTGAACTTGGGAGATGGAGGTTACAGTGAGCCGAAATCACACCATTACACTTCAGCCTGCGCAATAAGAGTGAAACTCCATCTCAAAAAAAAAAAAAAAAGAAACTATACTGTTAGAATAATTTTATTCTAACATAATTAGATACTTGATTGGGAAGTAAAAAAGTCGTAACTTTATGGTTTTGGGCCAAGCGCTGTGACTCATGCCTGTAAGCCCAGCACTTTGGGAGGCTGAGGTGGGCAGATCACCTGAGTTTGGAAGTTTGAGACTAGCCTGGCTAACATGGTGAAACCTTGTCTCTACTAAACATACAAAAATTAGCTGGACATGGTGGCAGATGCCTGTAATCCCAGCTACTCAGGAGGCTAAGGGAGGAGAATTGCTTGAACTTGGGAGGTGGAGGATACAGTGACCTGAGATCGTGCCACTGTACTCCAGCCAGGGTGACAGGGTGAGACTCTGTCTCAAAAAAAAAAAAGCTTTTGGGCTGGGCATGGTGGTGACTGATGCCTATAATCCCAGCACTTTGGGTGACCCGAAACAAGTGGATTGCTTGGTCTCAGGTGTTCAAGACCAGCCTACTAAAATACAAAAAAATTAGCTGGGTGTGGTGGCATTCGCCTAATGGTTGAGGTGGTAAGGTCGCTTAGGCCAGTAAGGCAGAGATGGTAGTGAGTTGAGATCGCATGACTCCACTCCAGCCTGGCCAACAGAGGGAGACCCCTATCTCAAAAATAAAAATGCTTTCCAACACTGCTTTCTTTTAGAATTACTGGCCCAGGTATCTAAATTAAAGCTGGCGATTGAAATTGGAATGCTGAAACTTAATTGGATTCATGGAATAACTGAGTAAACAGATTCCTCCATTAGGTTCATTGAATCAACTGCTTAGTGCTTTTGTGCAGTTTAATTCACACATAGCTCTAAGACATAGAATATTTTTCATCTTATTTCAAGCTAACGTTTGCCAAGGACCCTCTGGGATTACTTCAGAGTGGTGGAAATAACACAGGTTGAATGCATATTTTATTGCACCATTCATTTTAGGTGTGTGAAAGTCAGGATTTCTTCTCCCTTCATGTCTCCTCCTTGTTACTATCTTATTATTCAAGTTTAGTGGTCTTAGAAGGGAGGAAAGTGACAAGGCTGAATGAAGTAATACTGAGAATATTTCATCCAAAGGGAACCATACATTTTTTAGGCCCATTATTTAGTGTCTAGAGAGTGAGATAAGGCAGTTTTAAGAATACAGACAAATAATGGTGGCTACAGTCTTTTCTGCTTTTGAAACATAAGCAATTGTGGATGTGTTTCCAATGTCCTCCTTTACTGTGTTTGTAGTAGTGTTTCTTTTTTTTTTTTTGAGATGGAGTCTTGCTCTGTTGCCAGAGTGGAGTGTAGTGGCGTTATCTCGGCTCACTGCAACCTCCACCTCCCGGATTCAAGTGATTCTCCTGCCTCAGCCTCCTGAGTAGCTGGGATTACAGAAGTGCACCACCACACCCAGCTAATTTTTGTATTTTTTAGTAGGGATGGGGTTTACCATGTTGGTCAGGCTGGTCTTGAATTCCTGACCTCAGGTAATCTGCCCTCCTCTGCCTCCCAAAGTGCTGGGATTACAGGCATGAGCCGATACACCTGGCCTGTAATTATTTTATTATTTTATTTTATTTTTGAGACAGGATCTTGTTCTGTTACCCAGGTTGGAGTTCAGTGGTGCTATCATGGTTCACTGCAGCTTTGACTCCCCAGGCTCAAGTGATCCTTTCACATCAGCTTCCTGAGTAGTTGGGACTGCAGGTGCTCCCTAGCACACTGGGCGAATTAAAACTTTTTTTTTTTTTGGTAGAGATGGAATCTCGCTATGTTGCCTAGGCTGGTCTTGAACTTTTGGCCTCAAGTGCAGTCCTGCTTGGCTTACGAAAGTGCTGAGATTACAGATGTGAGCCACCATGCCTGGCTTGATTTTTAAAATGTGCTTAAAATTTATTTTAAAATAATGCATATTTGTATTATTGGCATGTAAGTTTAAATGCAGAGCATTGAATTAGAAAACTATAGGGTCTTGACAGTTTTCAGATATAAACTTAGTTACCTTTATAAATATGTAAATACACATACCGAGAAATAAGCTTCTGTGGTATTTTGCTCCTGAAATTTGGGCATACATACTTTTTTTTGTACATTATAGATATAAAATAAGACAGTTTCTTTTTCTGTACTATTCCTAGGAAATTTAAAAGGACAAAAATCAAATTTTAAAGAGCATTTAATGAATCTTGTAGAAAATGGAGTCTTAACAGTAAACATAGAAATAGTATGTTTTACTGTCAAAAATCTAAGTGAAATTTTAATTAAAAAAGTATAAGTCCAGGCTTGGCTCATGGCCTGTAATCTCAACACTTTAGGAGGCCAAAGTATGAGGATCTCTTGAGCCCCAAAATTTGAGACAAGCCTGGGCAACACGTGAGATCTTATCTCTAGAAAAAAGAAAAAAAAGAGTGAACAGTTCCCATTGATTCTGCCTTCTTTTATTTCATAAACATAAACATATACCCATCCACTAACTCATACATACACACCCTGCCCCAAGCTGTTATGAGTTGTGCTTTTTTTCTTCCATCAGGCATAATTTGACAACAAATACCTATTAGCACTTACTCTGTGAATTAGTCTTTCCCTGCCCCCTCTCTCCCTCCTTCCTTCTTTCCAACAGGGTCTGTCTCTGTCACTCAGGCTGGAGTGCAGTGGCACGATCATGGCTCACTGCAACCTCAAAATTCTGGACTCAAGTGATCCTCCGGTTTCAGCCTCCAGAGTAGCTAGGACTACAGGTGCATGCTATCATGCCCAGCTAATGTTTTTATTTTTTTGTAGAGCTGGGGTCTCACTATGTTCCCCAGGCTGATCTTAAACTCCTGGCCGCAAGTGAGCCTTCTGCCTTGACGTTAGTCTTTTTCAAAATGTTACTGGTCTGTCATTGGTCTAATATAGTCATGCACCACAAAATGACACTGTGGTCAGTGTCAATGTGGGACCGCATATATGATGGTGGTCTCATAAGATTATAATATAGCATTTTTATCATAATTTTCTATGGTGTCTTTTCTATGTTTAGGTATGTTTAGACACATGATTACTTAACTTTGTGTTACAGTTGCCACTAGTATTCAGTATAGTAACATGCTGTGCAGGTTTGTAACCTAGGAGCATTAGGCTGTACCATGTAGCCTAGGGATTAATAGTAGGCTATACCATCTAGGTTTGTGTAAATACAACTCTGTGACGTTTGTACAATGATGAAATTGCCTAAGGATGCGTCTCAGAACATATGCCTGTTGTTAAGTGATGCATGACTATAGTTTATGTTGATAAGGGAAAAGAAGTGTAAAAAGTGTCAATTTAAAAATGTTTTCAGGCATATTGCAGTGTGGATACTTGTAGTGAAAGTGCTTTTTCCTTATCCTAGTATCCTAGAAGGAAAACATCACCATGGCTACAGAAATTGGTTCTCCTCCTCGTTTTTTCCATATGCCAAGGTTCCAACACCAGGCACCTCGACAGCTGTTTTATAAGCGACCTGATTTTGCACAACAGCAAGCAATGCAACAGCTTACCTTTGATGGAAAACGAATGAGAAAAGCTGTAAACCGAAAAACCATAGACTACAATCCATCTGTAATTAAGTATTTGGAGGTAAGCCTAATCAGTGTATTTCAGATGACCAAACTTTGGTTATTTATTTATTTGTATTTTTATATTTTTTGAGACAGAATTTCTGTCTTCTTGCCCAGTCTGGGGAGTGCAGTGGTGCGGTTTCAGCTCACTGCAACCTCTGCCACCTGGGTTCAAGTGATTCTCCTGCCTTAGCTTCCCAAGTAGCTGGGATTATAGGCACCTGCCACTATGCCTGACTAATTTTTGTAGTTTTAGTAGAGACAGAGTTTTACCATGTTGGCCAGGCTGGTCTCAAACTCCTAACCTCAGGTGATCTGCTCGCCTCAGCCTCCCAGAGTGCTGGGATTACAGGCATGAGCCACCGTGCCTAGCCAAGAAGATGATTTTTTAGATGTAGTGTAATAAGTATGTATACCTTTGTTAGTTGAATTAGTGGGATGAGGTGGAATTTCAAATTGGCTCATTTAGGGAGAACCCCAAGCCACTAGTACTTTGTAAAATTCTGTGCCTATATCATCTTCTACAAAATCATTAAAAGTAGACTCCATTTTAGAAATAGGATTTGCTCTAAAAGTTCACAAATTAGAAGAGAGTACTTTCATTGCTAGGCCAACCTTAAAACCCTTGTTAAACCTGCAGTATATATGAAATAATGCAAGACTACCAACATAGGAATATTTTTGTGGGAATGTACTTTCAGAACTGCAACTTTGGGTTTCAGAGACAGGGAAGGAGTACATGGATTCTCCCGCTTCCAAGCCTTGGTGGTAGGTACTTCTTAGAGACAGGAAAAGGGCTTGCCGTTCAAGAGTATTGAACACCTGGTTCAGTCCTATACATTAAAAGCAACTTCGGCTTAGTAAGTAAAGGCAAGCAGGGGTCTACCTACAGTTTCCCTTTAGAGTTCTTTATTTACTTGTCTCAACGTAGGAATTAGCATTATTAGTAATGCACCCTATTAGGTTCACTGGGTTTAGGTCTGTTCTCCTATGAAAATTTGTCTGCTTTTCATTACCTTAGACCTGTGGTTAAAAACCCATTTGCATATTGGGCCTAATTAGTATGTTGCAGGCATACAGGAGAAAGAGATTCAGAGATAAAGACAGATTTTGATTTTTCTGGAAATTTCAATTGCGAAAGTAGACTTGGAAAGAGGTTGAGAGAAATCAGGAAAACCAAGGACAAGATATGAAGAATTGTTTTGTGCTAAGGGCTTTGAAGAAATTGGGGATGTCTGTCTACCCCCTCTGCTGTTTCCTTTTCTTAAAATAGATACTGTTGGGACCAATAGTTTAAGTGGGTAGGGGCTAATATGATAAAGTGAGGAGGCAAGAGTTTTTTTTTTTTTTTGAGATGGAATGTTGCTCTCTTGCCCAGGCTGGAGCGCTGTGGTACCATCTCAGCTCACTACAACCTCCGACTCCCCGGTTCAAGCAATTTCCAGCTAATTTTTGTATTTTTAGTAGAGACAGGGTTTCACCATGCTGGCCAGGCTGATCTCAAACTCCTGACCTCAAGTGATCCGCCTGCCTTGGCCTCCCAAAGTGCCGGGATTATAGGTGTGAGCCACTGGGCCTGGCGAGGAGGAAGGTTCTAAGCAATGTTAGTAGGATCAGAAGGGAAAGCTCTCTAAGGCACCCACTATTTGTTTTAGAAAACAATATTTTAAAATCCTGTTTGCTATTCATTGAATAGCTTAGGTTTTGTTAATAATTTCAAATTGAGTATAATTAGACCATCTAGTCAGTAATTGATATATTTATTTATTTAACAGAACAGAATATGGCAAAGAGACCAGAGAGATATGCGGGCAATTCAGCCTGATGCAGGTTATTACAATGATGTAAGTATATGATGCGTCATACTAGCTTAATAAACACTTCCTTGCTTGAATATTTTAGCCTAAAAATATGTGGCTTCAAGTCCAAAATGGTCTTTTCTTTTTACATTTTTATAATTAAAATATTCCCAAAGGGATAATGTAACATGTCTGTATAACCATGGGTTATATTTTTGTCTCAATTTAGATTTTCCTTTTAATCTAATGATGGTAAATTTTTGATTTGGGACTTAAAGCGGTGTCCAACAAGAAGTTGAATAATCTAAAATCTTATCATGGAAAGTTAATTTTAACTTTCTTAAAACTTAAATTTGAACTTAATTAGCTTTATGTGAACATATTTAATTGTGTTAACTTTGAGTACTAACTGGGGAAGTCTGGTGATTTTCTTGTTTATTTAGTTATAATGGGTATTTAACTTTCCTGTGTCTTACATTTCTTCACTTAATTAATAGACTAATTGTTTTTTTATTTTGTTTTGTGTGTGTGTGTGTGTGTGTGTGTGTGTGTGTGTGTGTGTGTGTGTGTTTAATAGACTAATTGTAATAATCCTTTATAATCGTTTTTAGGAAAAGTTTTATATGGTCCCCAGTTTGTCTTAAACGTTGAAATCATTACCTTGCCACATTTCTGGTTTCTGCCTTGTATGTAATCAGGAGCTCTAAGAACCCAATTTTCCTTTTTTGTAGCTGGTCCCACCTATAGGAATGTTGAATAATCCGATGAATGCGGTAACAACAAAATTTGTTCGGACATCAACAAATAAAGTAAAATGCCCGGTATTTGTTGTTAGGGTAAGTATTCTGTTGGATATTTTGGGGGGAAAATTAATCTTGAGTTATACAGCAAATTTATTTGACAGGGCAAAGAAAATGAAACATTATTTTAAAAGTATATCTGGGCTAAAAATTGGTTTATTCCTAGTAACTTTATTTTAAAATATCCAGTTGTTTATCTGGTTTATCACCATTAAGTGAGATACCACTTTGGGATTGTTTTTCTTCATGTGCTAATTTCTGTAGAATTCTCTCTGAATACATGGATACGTATTGTAGCCGCAGAGTTGTCTTTGAATAGGAATGCTTTTGTTCCTGTATACAAAGCAGCATCCCAAGATAAATGAAAAATACTTAGGAGTTACTAGGCAGGAAAATATCTGAGAAAGCTGAAGAACTGTGGTGTACCGTAAGTTTTAGTTCTGTGAAGGTACCTAGTAGGCACCTTTAAACTGAAATTTTAAAAATATAATTTTAAATTTTAACCCTTATTTTTATAGATGGTAATGTAATCATTTTCTTCTTTATGTTTATATTATTCCACTTCCTAGCTAATGGACTTGTTGGTTAACAGTATCCAGAGATGTAGAATGGTTAACAGTCTAAGTTGAGCAAATAACAGTTGGAAAAAAAAAATGAGACTGAGAAAAGACAATTGTAAACATTAGTGGCAGATGAGGAAAATAAGCAGATCTTCTGATATCAGAGGAGTATGATAGCAAGGAGAACCAAAAGGTCTTAGGAGAGAGATGGCAGTCTGAACTCCATGGAAATAGCTGCATTTAGTGTTAGGCCTCCTATTTGCCTCCGTGGCCTTAGGCAGTAGAAACATCAGTAAAGGGCCGGGCATGGTGGCTCACACCTGTAATCCCAGCACTTTGGGAGGCAGAGGCGGGTGGATCACCTGAGGGTGGGAGTTTGAGACCAGTCTGACCAATAGGATGAAACCTCGTCTCTACTAAAAATACAAAAATTAGCCAGGCGTGGTGGCATGCACCTTTAATCTCAGGTACTTGGGAGGCTGAGACAGAAGAATTGGTCCCAGGAGGTGGAGGTTGCAGTGAGCTGAGATTGTGCCACTGCACTCCAGCCTGGGCAACAAGAGCTAAAGCCCTACTCCAAAAAAAAAAAAAAAGAAACATCAGTAAAGAAACATTGTGGCCAGGCATGGTGTCTCATGCCTATAATCCCAGCACTTTGGGAGGCTGAGGCAGGCAGATCATGAGGTCAGGAGTTTGAGATCAGCCTGGCCAATATGGTGAAACCCCGTCTCTACTAAAAATACAAAAAATTAGTTAGGTGTGGTGGCATGCACCTGTAGTCCCAGCTACTCAGGATGCTGAGGTAGGAGAATCATGGTTGCAGTGAGCCAAGATCGCACCACTGCCCTCTGGCCAGGGCAACAGAGCAAGACTCTGTCTTAAAAAAATAAAAAAAAGAAAGAAACATTGTTACGTGAGTATAGGCAACCAGTGTATAGTATAATTTTTTTTCTAATCAGGGGAATTTGGTCAAAGGGATATAATGTGCAGCTAATTTTAATATCCTCTTAACATAACATGGCAAACCTTTTTGGAAAGAATAAAATCCAAGCACGCCATATCTGATAAGGTGGGTAAATGCTCTCATGTGGGGATTACGCTATAAGGTTTTAGGAAGAATTTGTACATAGTAGAGGCGCAGTCACAAAAGGTATTAAGATATAAAGACTGTGGGCTCTGTGTCTACAGTTTGGTTGTCTGTAGTATTGACTGGGTTAGGATCCATACGAGATAACAGAAACTAGAAAGGGAGGAGGCTTTTATCTGTTAATCAAAACTGTGACTTACAGGTAAACAATAAAAAGCCAAACTATCACATATATTTGTGTAATTTAAGAAATAACCTTTATATATCCTAGCCTACGGTTTCTTTAGGCACATACATATTTTTCTACTTTGTCACAGTTTTTATTTTGGAAAATAGGATTGTTGTGTAAACATTTTGTATGTTTGCGTCTTTTAAGGAAAATCAGTGTGTGATCCATCTTAGAAACTTGAAAATGAAAAGTTAAAAAAAAAAAAAAGATTTCAAATTAACCAGCACATATGTCACAGATTTCCTTTAGTATACAAATTGTAATATTAAAATAATGATGTAAAAATATTTAAAGGGCTTTAAGTGCCAAAAGTAAAAAAGTGTTTTAAGTGTAATTTGAAAGGAGAAAAGGGTTTAAGTGCAAAAAGAATTACTGGTATAGTCATTCCCTGAAAATATATACCTCTATTGTGTATCAATAAAAAATTAAAAATATTGGTGTAGTGTTAATTAGTCATGGCACAATTTATGGTTTTTTTTGAGAGTAGATCAGCATAAGACTTGTCACTGCTTGGTACTTTGGATGGAGGAGAGCTTACAATTTTATTTTGAAGTATGTTTAGCTGCAGGAAGAGTTTGATAGCTTCAGTTCCCTTAAATTGGTACTTGTTATTATCTTGTTTTTTTAATTGAATACTGGTAACTTTTCTTTCTAGATTTGTCTCCTAGTACTTGTAAGCACCAAATCCTTTATTTAGTCTTTGAGTTGTGGTGGTGACTGATCACCTTATTTATGTTAGTCTCTCATATAGCCTAGGAAATGAGGTCTTTGCATATTCTATTTTGAAATAGTCTTTACCATTCATAGGTGTGTGTAATTTAGTGAGTAGGGGCATGTACTCCTCATGTACTTAGTATCTTTAATTTAGCTAAGAAGCCAGAGTACTAGAGCTTTTCCTGCACTGCGTTAGGCTCTTTTCTGACAGAGTACTTCTGATAAAGCTGAGCTACATTTAAGTGAAAGTATCATCTACTTAGTGTCAGTTATTGCATGTTTTATAAATATCTTTAACATGTTTTCAAAGTTAGTGAAATTGGAGGATGTGTGCCCTTGTATAACCTTTCTTTTTTTCTCCCTTAGTGGACCCCAGAAGGAAGACGCTTGGTCACTGGAGCTTCTAGTGGGGAGTTCACCTTGTGGAATGGACTTACTTTTAATTTTGAAACAATATTACAGGTAATAGTAATCACCAGATGATACATCATCCTGTGGTACTGTGAAGAACTTGAGATATACGGTAGTCACTTCATTGGCATTGTTAAACTTAGAATTGGACAAATCATTACCTCGAGTCAGTACATGCTCTTGTAAGCCTTTAATCATATATTCTTTGAAGCAGCACCTTACTAATTAATGTTTTCTGTTTTCATAGGCTCACGACAGCCCAGTGAGGGCCATGACGTGGTCACATAATGACATGTGGATGTTGACAGCAGACCACGGAGGATATGTGAAATATTGGCAGTCGAACATGAACAACGTCAAGATGTTCCAGGCACATAAGGAGGCGATTAGAGAGGCCAGGTTTATACACAATATACCATTTTCTGTAGTCCCTATTGTCATGGTTAAATTATTCTCTAAGTGTATTCTGGGTGCAGAGATGCATGGGCTCTGTCAGATTCTGGGAAACTTTCTGCACCCTATAAGCACAATATTTTTCTTTGTTTTCACACATTCACCATTTTGCTGGCACCTTTCTGAAGTAGTGTTGTCCCGGTATCAGCCTTTGCAATATGTTAGAGATGTATTGTCTGCCGCATTTTGCACTGGTTTTCTCTTTTCATTTATGATTAATAATGTGTATACTTTATTCCTTTTTATTATCTACTGTGTAAGACAAGAATATTTCATTCCAAATAAAGAATTCAGTCTTTAATTATGCAACTGAATAAAATCTAAAGCCTACAGAAAACAACTTCAGAATTCACACAAAGTGGAAAAAGGCTTAAGTGAAGACCTGGTTGGCTTGGTTATGCCACGACTTCCAAAGGAAAGTATAGGACTAAAAACCCTCACAGATAACTGGATGTGGCAAACATTAACGGATTAATGAATGGGTTCTTCAAGCTTTGCAGCTGTAAGCAGATCATTGTGAAGAAGACTCTAGGACTTTTCTTCTGATTCACTGTTGATAACATCACTTATGCAAATGTATACAATAAGTGGAGTTTAAAATATTTTCAGTGAGTTGTACATTTTTACATATCAGTGAGATATGTATAGTAAAACTGGGGGAAAAAGTTCCAAATACAAGCCTGAAGAATTGCTGCAGCCTCAGAATAAAGCTAAGCAGCATTCTTTAAGGTTGTGCCACCCATGTGTGGGAGGAGGTTGACATCTTTATAGAAACATCATCCACTGTAGTCATTTGCTTATATTTGCAGAATCTTAACAGAAATTGTTGGATGAACATCCTTCTGCTTTGTAGATTTTGCGTTAGTGCCATGCCCATACATTGAGTTTACACAGTTGATCCTTTCTTAGTCATAGGATTCCAAAGTTCAAGGGAGTTCTTAGTGTTAGTTGAGAAACTTGATCGTCTTTCACTACTGGGAAAAACTGGCTCCTTCTTGCAGTGGATTCTTTGGCTTTAAACACAAGTCTGAATGTCGTTATTTTAAAGTTTTCCTCAAAAGGTGCAACATCCATGGAATAGCTTGCTAGGAAGATGTGAAAGTTTTCTACCGACCTTTAGAACAGATGAGAAACATCACATGTAGGGATGGTTAGCAATCAGTCTTCTAGTAGACTGCCCACATTGTTTCAGCTTATCATTTCATGAAGTGTTGGAGGCAGAAGCTGATGATAATTTTTGGGAGCAGTATTCGTGTGCGATTTAAAAGACTGCAGGAATACTGCAGAAATATAATCCATTTAGTTTTACCGCTTAAGGCAGCGTCATGTGATTTCCTGGTATGATAGGAAATAGAGAAGGAACATGGATAGCATTAGCACTAATAATACACACGTGAAGTTCTCAGAATACTGATGGTTGAAAACTCAGAAACAACTGCTCCGTTGAAGTCTTCTTTTGATGAGATGCCTGTGTTAGTTGACAACATTCGCTTTAAGGGCTTCTTCACTGGAATTCTGCCCTCTCCTGTTTATAATGCAGCACCGTGTTTTTATTTTTCCCTGTCTGAGAAGCACAGATTATCTGTTAAATGCTGACTTCTTTCCCCTGCTGTGTGTCTTCATGTAACAGTTTCTCACCCACGGATAATAAATTTGCTACATGCTCTGATGACGGCACTGTTAGAATCTGGGACTTTCTTCGTTGCCATGAGGAAAGAATTCTCCGAGGTACGTGTACTAACAGTACTGATTGGAATATTTAAACAGGGAAGACATTTGTGGTTGAATCATCACAAAACCACAATACTGGCCTACATCTCCATTCAATTGTTTTACATGTACACACCGTCTCAGGCTCTTCAAAAAAACCAACACTTTCCCTGATTCACAGTCATTTTGTAGGTTTTTACTACCAGTGTCATCTTTGAATTTTTCAGCTATGAATTAAATACAAGAGGCCCCTCTCCTTACTTGTTTATCTGTATGCGTCTTTTAGGCTGTATTCCTTTTCCTTTCCTGTAGCCAGCGTACTTGCTCCCAACATATGGACAGTGTGGTTTGATTTAGATAGTTCTCATTCTCCTGGCTGCCCTTTCACAATGTGAGTTAACCAACAAGACAGAGGCATCAAAGCTACACTTCTTAGTGTTACTATTTCTGAAAGCAGTTGGTTTTGCAGTACACCACATTTGTACTACATGGCCTGCTTGTTACTAAGTTGGGGAGGCATTGCTTGTTTACTTTTGTTGATTTCATAATTAATAAAGAAACCTCTATGAATTCATTCTATAACTGAAGTCCATATTCTCACTTCGATTATTTTAGATTATGATTAGAATATTGGACTCTGTAAAATGAGACTGTTGAAATACTAACAGTATATCAATGTGAGTTACATGAATTCAGTGGTGGTAGAGTTAAGGAATTTGTTGTATATGTGCAATACAAACATCACAACGAAGAGACTTCTAACTGGATCCTATTAGTTTATTAAGTAGGAAGGTACTTTTCTCAGGTGCTTAATTTGAACCTGTTAAACGTACTGTTTAACAAACAGTATCTTCTACTCCATATCCTTGATTCTAGAATGCCACAAAAGTACCATCTTTCTCTGACACAAATGCAGGGAGGGAGGATGGGTGCTACAGGTGTTGGGTGTCAAATTGTTATTCAGAGCCTTTCCCTATGTTCAAGAGTCAGCAGAGATCGTTGTCTCAGTGAATCGTAAGTTTCCCACAGCTTTTCAGAGCTTTATCTATAGCATGTAATGTTGACGCTTTGGAGACAGGAAAGACTCTTGAGATACTTTAACCTTATTTCAGTCCATATTTCAAGCCAGCATCTTCAATCACATTTGCTTAAACACTCCTGACTTTGTGCATTTTGTTTGGGTTGATCCACAGTAGTGTATGATTATAGCTTTCATAAGGATAGGGAACCTGTCACATTGAGGAAGTATACTCACTATAAAGGTCATAATATTGTATAACTTCAGAATGAGACAAAGGCTTTGAGATCATCTTGTCAGCGTCATTTTATGGATGAGCACCATGACTCCAAGGGTGTAAGTGACATGTTCAAAGCCAGGACTAGAATCTTACTTGGCACCCAGCTCAATGCCACACTTAGGTTGAATCTTTCCTCACTATTAGTCTTAGCTATTAAACAGAAATAAGTTAAATATTTTCTAAGTTTTTAAAATCCTAGAAACTTTCAGAAAATGAAATAATTTTATTTATTAAAACTAACTCTAGAGAATTAAAACAACTAATTTTACAGTGGACTGTACTAACTGAAGTCTGATCTGAAACCACTTTGCAGCTTGGATTTTAAGAAGAAGGAAATCTGTGTGATAATGTTTTTCAATCCCATGATCCAGTGAAGCATTATTCCGTTTTGGTAATGAAAGGGTTTTATTAAGAATTTTCTTCTGGAATTTAGAGTGTGCAGGGGATATTAACTAGCAGTTATATATTTTCAAATAAGTCCAGGTAAATTTAGATGAAGCTAAGTATCATAAATGAGAGTTGAGATTTTTGTATGCGGGCTCATTGTTTTAGGTTTTTACTATGGAAATTTCAAACATGCACAAAGGTATAATGAGCCTTCACATACTTTGAGGATTTACATTCTAGCTTTCTAATATCGTGTGATTCTTTTAAAAAATATTCTACTTGCTTTATAGTCATAATATTTTTAGTACCCCAAGACACTTCAGTATGTGAAGCAGATATGAATATATTGAACTAAGTTGATTATACCACCCAAGCAGTAATTCTGATAGCAAGTCTGGTGTAGGAGAAGAGTTATTAGATTCCAATTGTGTGTTTTCTGTCATTTCTCACTTTTCCAAATTTTCTGCATCTAAGAGCTTCCCATCCTCCCCTTGGTGAGTTGTGGGGTCAGAGGGATGGTGGATTGGCGGTTCTTTCAAGGGATGATGAGAAGTTCTTTAAATGTGAAGTGAACTTATTTAGCGCTACTGAGAGAAAATTGGATCACAAAGTCAAACAAATAGGGACAGGATATTCAGACCTCTAAAATATCAGTCGCCCTTTATTAAGGATGATGTTCATGTAACACACGTAGACTCTGTGGCATCAGGCAGATAAGCATACTCCTTTGCATTGTTAGTGTTGTGTGGCAGGCCATTACTTTTGGAGTTAACTGTTAAGAAAATATAAGAATACTCTATTTAAGGGGAGTTTGTGATCATATAGTTGAACTCTCTATCAAATACTTTTCTACAGCATTCCTAAAAAACAGTCTTCTATTCACAAACATTTTCAGTGATGGAGTATTCCCTACTTCACATGAATTCCTTTTAATTTTAGACAGCTCTACTTTTCAGGGAGTTCTTGCATTATATCCGAAATCTGCTTCCTTACAAGGCGTCTGGCTTACAGAATACCAAAAATTAAGTCTGCACTTCAGTCACATGGCAAGCCGTTAAGTATTAAAAGACAGCTGTAGGCCAGGCTCATGGCTGTAATCCCAGCACTTTGGGAGGCTGAGGTGGGCGAATCATGAGGTCAGGAGATCGACACCATCCTGGCTAACATGATGAAACCCCGTTTCTACTAAAAATATAAAAATTAGCCAGTTGTGGTGATGGGCACCTATAGTCCAGCTACTTGGGAGGCTGAGGCTGGAGAATCGCTTGAACTCGGTAGGTAGAGGTTGCAGTGAGCCAAGATCACACCACTGCACTCCACCCTGGGTGACAGAGCGAGACTCCGTCTCAAAAAAAATAAAAAGACAGCTGTAAGGTCTTCTTAACTGAGTTTTTTAGCTTTAAGTATACAGTGTGCCTGTGCATAACAGAAGCCATGATACCATAGTTTTTTTATTATTATTATTTTTTTAAGCAGAGACAGGCTCTGTGTTGCCCAGGCTGGTCTCAAACTCCTCGGCTCAAGGGATCCTCCTGCCTCAGCCTCCCAAAGTGCTAGGATTATAGTGAGGGCCACCACACTGGACCTGTACTTTGAATGCAGAGTTTATAGTTGCTTTTTATTTTTACTTTTTTATTATTTTTAAAATATTTTTGACACCAAGTCTTGCTCTGTCGCCCAGGCTGGGGAGTGCAGTGGTGCAATCTCGATTCACTCTAATCTCTGCCTCTCATGTTCAAGTGATTCTCCTGCCTCAGCCTCCTGAGTAGCTGGGATTACAGGCATGCATCAGGATACCCAGTTTACTTCTGTATTTTTAGCAGAGACTGGGTTTCACCATGTTGGCCCAGGCTGTTCTGTAACTCCTGACCTCACATGATCCACATGACCCGGCCTCCCAAAGTGCTGGTATTACAGGCATGAGCCACTGTGCCTGGCCTGTAGTTGCTTTTTATAATAGTATCATTCTGAGATTGCTCTTAGGCCTAGAAAAGGTCAAAGTTACAGAAGAGAAAAATAATCAGTATCTTCTGAGGTTTAAAATAAGCATAGATCTGTTGTTGGTGGATTTATTATATAAAAGTCCTTGTTGGTTGGCTCATGAGTTGAAAAAAACAGACATTTATGAAATAGAATATACTGCAGCATTGAGAAGCACTATGTATATGTCCACCATTACAAAGGATGTGTAAGTCACCATAGTTTATACACATTTTCTCCTTTTTTTTCTAGTGTTGATTGTGGCGATTTATGGACTGGGATTACAGTAACATTTTTTTACAGTTTTTATTAAAAATTGAAAAAAAATTTCCCCTAGCTTCCCAGCTTATGATAAAATAACATTGTACACACCAGAAATATGTGAACCTAAATGAGCCTGTAAGTTATGTTTACACGTTTGACTCCAACTGAAATAGTACCATTAAAATCTAATAAACAATGAGTATCCTATATTCAAGTTACCTAGTAGACTGTTCTGTAAGATATAACCCTATCCTCATGTTGAGTAGGGAAGGTAAGATATTTTCACAATCGCTGAAGATGTCTGATAGTATGGTAGGAGATCCATGTGAGCGCTTGAAGCGTAGTTTTATCGGCATGTGGAAGCAGATTACTTCATTACTGGCAGGTTGAAAATATAGAATAAGTAAGAATATGGAAATAAATTTTACTGAGAGGCATTATGTTCTTTTAATTTGTTTCCCACAGCCTCACGCCTCCCTATTATACTCGTAAAGAGAATCAGCTAACAAATTTTAGCATGCTTTAATTTTGTATTACCTTCTTGATTTTAACAATAATAGCTGACACATTATACTTACAGTATATCAGGCATATTGTAAGTAGTTTGTTTAATCTTCCCAGTAGTCCTATGCGAGCAGTACTGGTTGTTCTTCATTTTACAAATGAGTAAACCAGGCCAGGCGCGGTGGCTCACGCTTGTAATCCCAGCACTTTGGGAGGCCGAGACAGGTGGATCACGAGGTCAAGAGATCGAGACCATCCTGGTCAACATGGTGAAACCCCGTCTCTACCAAAAATACAAAAATTAGCTGGGCATGGTGGCGCACGCCTGTAGTCCCAGCTACTCGGGAGGCTGAGGCAGGAGAATTGCTTGAACCCAGGAGGCGGAGGTTGCGGTGAGCCGAGATCGCGCCATTGCACTCCAGCCTGGGTAACGAGCGAAACTCCGTCTCAAAAAAAAAAAAAAAAAACAAATGAGTAAACCAAGGTACCAGAAAGTTAAATAAACCTGTCAAAGGTCATATAGCTTGTAAGAGCTGAGGCTTGGATTTGAAGCCTGTTTGTTTGGCCCCAGTGTTCATGCTCTTA